TGTGTATATATAAATATACATATGTAGATATATATATATATATATATATATGTATATGCCCCGGCCTCAGTCAGCTGCTCGCAAACAGATGTGCAGCGCCCACCCCACTCGGGAACGCCCCAAGCAACCACGGAACCTGTCGGGCAACGGCCTTATGTCGGCTGTACACTAAACCCTATTTAGGGTTTAGGGTTTAGGGTATATAGTTTAGGCAGGGAGGCCAAGGTTGAGAACGCCAAAGTACTGTACCTCCTACTAGTGGTTGACAGATGGCGCCATTTCAAAGACTATTTTGGTGCTAAATTGGGGCATGGAGTGCAATGCAGCAATGAGGCATGAATGTGGTGTATCAAGAGCTGCACAAACAGCCTGACGGTTTCAGTAGCACTTCTCCTGATCCCAATAGCTGCTGCATTTTATCGATGTCCCGACTTCTTAGCTTCGCCTTTTGATATCACCTTGCAAACCTAACCCTTAACCCTAAACCCTAAACCCTAAACCCTCAACCCGAAAAACCCGAAAAACCCTTAACCCTTTCAACCCTAAACCCTAAGCCGTGCTCGTCCCGCTTCCCCCGGCCGTCCGCGCAGATGGCCGCAAAGGATGCCTCGCCAGCCGCGATGCTGCGGAGGCCGCCTGCACGAAGCTCCCCCGCCGAAGACTCCCCGAGGCCCTATAGGGTTTAGGGTTTATAGGGTTTAGGGTTTAGGGTTTTAAGCCCTGAAAGACCCTGAAACCGTGAACCCTAAACCCCGAAAGGGCCTAAAACCCTAAACCCCAAACCCGAAACCCTGAAAGGCCCTAAAACCCTATAAACCCTAAACCCAAGCCCTGAACCCTAAAACGCCTACATCCCTCGAGGCCTCAACGACATCCTAAAATCAAAACCGCCCTTCATGGTGATTAGAACAGTGTTTTGTGGATATACATATATACACACACACATATATATATATATATGGACTCATGTGCATGTGTGTATATATATATACACATATATATATATATATGTATATGTATATATATATATATAATATGTACATATACGTATTGGGACTATGACTATAATACTCCCTGATAAGGGATCTTGGGCAAAAAAGTGAGTCTCCGAAGAGCCGTGAAAAGTCTTCAGAGCCTAAACGGGAGTCTAAGAGAGGTAAGCACGGTTTAGGGTTTAGGGTTTAGGGTTTGGGGTTTACGGTTTAGGCCTATCATCAACATGGGCTCGAAAGAATAGGGCTTAGGGTTCCGGGTTCTTTTTTTTTGAAAATGCAATGGCTCAGGGCTTAGGGTTTAGGGCCCTAAAGAATAGGATTCTAAGGACCATCTTTTCGAGATCCGTGTAACTACACCCCAACCCCTAAACCCTGACTAAACCCTTAAACCGAAACCCTAATTAAACCCTAAACCCTATAATTAAACCCTAAACCCTATAAACCCTGACCCCCTAAACCCCTAAAACCCTAAACCCTAAACAACAGCGCGTAGCCCTACATTCCCAGAAGCCAGCACACTGTAAGCCTCGCTTCAGCACCTCCGGAGCTACGCCGATGCCTCGCTTTCAACGGAGCTTATCGTTTTGGCCCTGAAGGACCTGACCCTGAACCCTAAACCCTAAAGGTGTCGTCTTGTGAGCTTTTTGGTGCTAATGTAGGGGCCTTAGTAGATAGAATGGCGTTTTGGGTTGAATTTTACTATATTGATAAGAAGGAACCCCAAAATAGTAGTGGTTTTTATTTAGACCCCTACAATTACACTGCCAACTGCCAGATTCAACGGACAGGTGGTGCTGCACCCTTTCTCTGGTACCGGACCGATAACTTCACTAATTAGGCTGTAGCCCCCACCTTACCCTAAACCCTAAACCCATAGGTTCTCTAGGGTCCAGAAGACATCAGAAAACCTATTCGAGGACTTTTCTGTCCTCGGCCCAGATTTTGATGGACGCAGTCGCGCTTCAAGTCGACAGCACAAACACCCCAAAAAACCAAAAACTAACCAAGCACTAATAAACCCCTAAACCTCGAAAACATGCCAGGGCGCTACTTCCTCCGTTTCGAGCGTTGCCCCAGGTGACCAGGCTTCCTAAGCTACGGCAAGGCCCTACTTGCGCAGTGCGCGGGGCTTAGGCTTTAGGGCCCTACTTGGGTGTAGGGTTTGGGGGTCTAGAGACTCAAACCTAAACCCCCGAATCCCTAAACCCTAAACCCTAAACTTAACCCTAAACCCTCAACCCTAAGCCCCTAAACCCTAAACCGGTTCATCATGTAAAGTTTGCTGATCAGCAACAGTGGAGCTTCCGTGTTGCGGGCTGAGGCTTCCAACATGAGGTTGCAGGTCGTCACCACAGTTGCTTCATGGTTCGTTAAGGTTTATAGGGTTTAGGGTTTAGGGTTTAGGGTTTAGGTCGTCACCACAGTTGCTTCATGGTTCGTTAAGGTTCAGGGTAGAGGGTTTAGGGTTTAGGGTTGAGGGTTTAGGGTTTAGGGTTTAGGGGTTTAGGGGTTTCGGGGTTAGGGGTTTGCCGGTTATAGGGTTTAGGGCTCAGGGTTTAGGGTTTAGGGTTCAGGGCTTAGGGTTGTAAACTATAGGCTTGCAGCCAAAAATACCAGAACTAATGACTGGATGAAACCCCAAATCGGCTACTGCCCAGTACTGTGCAGCATCGAGGCCGGCAAAGGATTCGGGGTTTAGGGGTTTAGGGGTTTAGGGGTTTAGGGTTTAAGGTTTAGGGTTTAGGGTTTAGGGTTTAGGGGCTCTAGGGCATGTCTTGGTCGTGCACCATGAAGGTCCAAGCGCCGAGTAGTTATATACCCTTACCCAAAAGAAAAAATGCTGAAAACTAGATTTGATTACTGTTTCCCTAAACCCACACACCCAACCACAGGGTACTGGGACTGGTATGCACGCTTCGGGGCAATCGTTCTAGGTTTATTGAGTGTCTGAGCCGGCAGGAATAGATGCTGCACAGAAGTCTGCGCAGAGCAACTAATCAGAACCCCCCTCCCCTTCAGCACTGCAGGATCGTAACCATAGAACTATAGTTACTGTGAAAGACGCACACCTGGGAAGAATCCCTGAACCCTAAACCCTAAACCCTAAATCCCTACACCCTAAGCCCTAAATCCCTACACCCTAAAGCCTAAACCCCTAAACCCCATATCGCTACACCCTACACCCTAAGCCTCCCCCCCAAGACATGGCCAGGACACCATCCTTCATGAAAGCCGCAAAAGCCGAGGCAGTCGTGTAGATGTCCCTGTTTCATGGAGAGCCCAAATCCGCTTTTAGGGCCATTTTAGGGTTTAGGCTTCAGGGATTTAGGGTTTAGGGTTTAGGGATTTAGGGTTTAGGGCTTTGGGTGTAGGGTTCATGGATTTAGGGGCTTAGGGGTTTTGCGGCTTAGGGATTAGGGTTCAGGGATTAAGGGTTCAGGGTTTACGCATTTAGGGTTTCGCGTTTAGGGGGGGTTGGGGTTTAGTTTAGGGATTTGGAGTTTGGGGTTTAGGGATTAGGGTTTAGGTTTTAGGGATTTAGGATTCAGGGGTTGAGGGGTTTAGGGTTTAGGAATTAGAGTGCAGGGCTTAGGGGTTTAAGGTTTTGGGGTTTAGGGTCCAAGGGTTACAGGCTTAGATGCCCCCTAATTTGGAGTCTCTTCTTGCAGGGTTGTATGAGATTTGCCTGCAGGGTATGTCGAGGGTTTTGTTGGCCGTAAAGAACGGTCGCCTGTTAAGGATCCCTACCGCCATCTGAGCAAAGGCCTTGGGGTTTAGGGTTTTAGGGTTTTGGGTTTAGGGCGCAGCCCCAACACCCAATCTATCTGACCCTACACCCTGAAACCTAAAATTCAAAACTTCCTAGGTCCGAGTGCATGATTCCCACGTTGCTTCCGCAACCTCCAACTCGCGGACTCCAAAGCAGGCTCCGCCTGATGCTTTGGCGCCGAAGCTCACTTGACACCTCCGGGGGCCCCAACTAAAGCTTATGGCGCTTCACGGAAAGGGGACCCGTACTTGAAGGATCATGGGACTTAGTAACTATAGGGTTATAGATAAGGTAACTATACTTACAATTACTTATCACCTCAATTGATTCAAGGTACTTATAACCTTACTTGCTAAGTCCCATGATCCTCCAAGTATATGGGCAATCCTTATCCTAAGTTTTGTGGGGATTAAGGGTTTACTTATAGGCTCATGGGACGTAGCAAGTTATAATTCAGATAAACCTACTTCGGTAACTTGTAACCCCAAACCTAATCCTACTTGCCCCTTGAGCCCTTAAGAACCCCAAGCCCTAAGCCCTAAACCCTAAACCCCTTAGGTCTTGGCATGGTCTAAGAGAAAGCCCAGGCTTAGGGGGTTTACGGGGGTTTAGGATTCAGGCGGTTTCGGGGGTTTGGGGTGTAGGATTTAGGGTAGAGTGAAGCACGCGAGGCCCACAATTGCGGCTTCTTGGTGAGTCACTGTCTTAATTGCCCGGAAGTTAGGTCCTTCGATAGAGGAACTACAAACCAAGGTTTAGGCAACACCACGGCACGCACCGGTAATAGGCTTGGGATGTAGACTAGATCTGGTGAACTTCAACCTTGGACAAGGGGACTCCTGGCGCAAGGGAACCGACACTGAATCTCCTGAACAAAGTCGGCTTCCCCTTCTGGGTTCCCCAGTACCTCCTTAAAAATAAGGGTACCCTTTTTCGCACTATTTGGTTTTGGTTTTAATAAGGGAACCCAACAAGACAAAGGGCAAAAGGGTACTACTGGGTCGACCCCTAAGCCACAGCCCAAACCCTTAATCTTTGAATAGACCTGCCGAACAAGGCACCCGTGACGCATCGCCACCATCAACGCTGGAGCCCCATGCAACGATGTCGCCATCCTGGCTCGGATTGGAGCAGCTCCAAAACATGGATTGAAGTATTTCAAGGCTTAGTTACGGTCTAGGGCCCTAACCCTATAAAGACAAAAAATTGGGGCTTAGGGTTCAGGGTTTGCGGGCAACAGCCGGGCCAGAAACGAAGTCCTGAACAAGCAGGGATCAATGTGTTCATAATGGCCTGGTTGTAGATACCCCGAAAGCTAAAGGATACCCACCTATTCAACTAGAACCTACACACCCTAACCCCTAAACCCTAAACCCTAAACCCTAAAACCGCTAAAACCCTCAACCCTAAACCCAAATCTAAGAATCTGACAGACGCCAGTCTCACGACAGGATCCTGGCCTCGTAACCTGGTTCTAGGAGTTGCAGAAAGCAAAGGGAGGCAAGGAATAAGACTCGATACCAATACAAGACTTAAAGGGTCATCATACCCTATCCCTTTTTTAAGGTACCTAGTTTTTTTGGTTAGGAACTGTTACATAAAAGGGTATGACCGTATAGGTAGGGAGTAGGGCTTTAAGTTTAGGGTAAGTACTGGGACTCTAGTTACCTACAGTTTTATGGGTTCTACGTACGAATTAGGGTGTAATGGCTGCTAAACCGTAGGTAAAGAGAGTTACAGGCAGGGTTTAGGGTTTTAGGGTTTAGGGTAGTTCCTTTTTGGGGTTCCCTTGTAGGATCCTAAATATAAAAATAAGGTTAAGCCCAAAAATAGGAACTACAATGGAGACCATAGCTAAGCTCCTAAGCGCAACTACTAAAGCTACCAAAAGCCCTTGGAATCCTGTTGACCGCAGGGAGAAGTCGAAAATCGGATACCATGCTACTTCTAGCCTAAAGCAACATTCAATGGGGCTCCAAATAGCCCAAAGTAGATCAAAGTAGGTACTACTTATGACACTTTGAACTTGGCGCTGTTTAGTCGCGCATGTCAGGCGATTTTGGGCTTGCCCTGTTCTACGTTCAGCCTACTTTTTACGATGTATAGGAGCCCCACCAGGTTGGTTAAGGTGGAATCTGGTAGGATGTCCGGCTTCGAGATGCAGACACCCGGAAACAACAGGAAGCGCCAAACTTAAAGCATGGAAACAGATTTACATGTCTACGCGGCATCAGATTTCAGGCAGCATATCTACTTCTACTGCTGCTGCAGCACCGCGTTGCTCAGTAGGCAGAATGCTTCCGAGCACCGACAACAGGGCAGCCGGCACGAGCCGCTACAGCTGCGCGATCAGCTTACTTTAAAGGGTCCTTGTACCAAAATAATATATACTTATAGGCCTTCAGGTACCTATATATATATATATATATACATGTATATATATATATATATGTACTTTAGGACCGAAGTTTATGTGTGTGTATATATATATATATAACTACATGGACCCTTTTGGGCAAGCCTGCAGTGCGGCACTCGAAACCTCGACGTTCCAGGGGGTGGATGAGAAAAGCGATGCAAGAGCTTCTTCGGCTTTGCGATTTTGTTCTTCCGTTTCGTCACAGCCTTAACCCCTAAACCCTAAGCCCTAAACCCCTAAACCCTAAACCCCTAAACCCTAAACCCAAAGCCCCCAAACCCCTAAACCCCTAAACCCTAAACCCTAAACCCTAGGAAGAGCGCGAGCGCTGCCCTTGGCAGCTGTGGCTGCACCGTTTGCTGCGCAAGTTGCGAAGCAAACACAGCCCGATGCGTCCGAAGAACCTCTATGCGGCGTACTCACGGACTTACAGAAAGCATCAGTATCATTCCTATCGTACCTGTAGTCTCCATTGTAGTTCCTTTTTGGGGATACCTTATAAAATTCTTAATACATAATTGGCTAAACCCAAAAAAGGAACTACAATGGAGACTATAGGTAGAAACCCTAGCTTGTACTATCTGAATAAACTCTTTGGGAAAGTTCGGGTTTTACAGGAAACCCTGCCGACGATCGTGGCACAAGACTTACTTAAAACTTGGCTGCTGCAGAATGAGCCCTGACGCCAAATCTGTAATGTTTAACCCTGCTAAGCCGTTCCGGCAGGCCTCTTTGATCGCGACGAAGGCTCCTCAGTATGTGAGGCGCCCGAGACCATGTCTCTCTTCAAAAACAACCAACAGTCTCCATTGTAGTTACTTGTTTTGGTTTCACAAAATTTCGTATTTCGGACCTTTAATGGGTAGCCCAAAAAAGGAACTACAATGGAGACTGTAGGCAACGTTGCAAAACCCCACGGCCGGCCAATTTTGTCCGAAAGCGAGGCCCTACACTCTCAGCCCAGAATTCTGCCTGACCTGACTTTACCCAGAACCCTCCGCAACTCAGGGTTTGGGGTTTAGGACCTGAAATCATCTGAGTTTACCCAGAACCCTCTGCAACTCTGAACCTTAAGAAACCTTGGCGCGAGCCACAACCACTCGCATCTACACCCTACAACCCTAAAGCCCGACAAACACCCGCACCCCCTTGAACTCCAAAACCCCGAAGCCGGAAACCCCACTTCCAGACCTTGTAGAACAAACTATAGGATGCACCTACAGAGCCCGTAAATCTAAGGTTGAAGCCATGGGCCCCTAGTATGGGCCCTTAACCCTGGGACCCTTATATATCTAATACCCTATATGTACCCTTAAAAGACCCTAGAACCCCCCTAAGGGCCCATATTCGGGGCCCATACTTCTAACCTCGGAGCACTGTGGACCCTGTCTTACTGGGCAAAGCCTGAAACCCCTCCCTCAACCCCTACACCCCCTGTACCCTCCCTAAGACTTTTCGACCCCGAGCCCCACTTTCGCACAAAAACCCGCGCCTCAATATAGGGCCCATAATATTTAGGGCGTATAGGGTTTAGGATGATAAATAGAAAAAGGACCCCCCACACCCTAAACCCTAAACCCTAAACCCTAAACCCTAATAATTCTTAAGGCCGCACGGACCCCAACTCCCCCCTCGGGCCTTGTGTCGAGTAGATGTGCTGCACACCCTCCCGCCTCGGTGCCCCAGAGTTTATAAAGGGCTTGGTTTAGGGCTTAGGGTTTAGGGTTTAGGGCTTAGGGCATCAGAAGTCTCTATGGTTTGATTGGGTCCTCAGTGGGTTATTACGTACAAATATTGGGGCCTAAGGGTTTGAATATCGGGTTATGGCTTGCAGGGTTAAGGGTTGCAAGTCGAAGTGTCGGAATACTGCATGTAGGGTTATAGCATTTTGCTGTGCAAGTCCGCGTAGGTCTCCCAGAGCTTCGTCAAGGCTTACAAGCTTTACCCTAAGGCACCCGGCAATCAGATACTCTCCCGAACACTAACCTACAAACCTACTATCCGTGACCCAAGTATCTATTCATTTATTAAGCCCTTTGGACCCCTAAAACCCCTGTAAAACCCTACAAATCCCTCGAAGAAGCCGCACAACAACCCCCAAATTATTACGTCTTATGGACCGTGAGGAGTACAGCTTCGGCATCCTTACAGTTTGAGGCTACTGCGCCCGGACCTTCCAATAGCCCTTAAGTGAGGAAAGACACCTTAAAGCATGTACGGGATCCCACGATAATCTACGGAATTTATAGGAACTATCCCTACGTAAAGGATCCTACCACCATGTACGGAACTACCTAAAGCAGCCACAGCACAATTGGTCGGCCACGCTGCCGCAGTTTCCTCCAGACAAGCCTCCAACAGTCAGGGTTCTGTAGGGCTTTCTAGAACTATCCGGTTTCATAAGCCCTTGTAAGACTTGTAAGGGAGTCTTTAGGTTCCATGAGGGAATATATATATATATATATATATATGAATACTACACATACATACACATGTTCCTATGGTATAAACAGCGACAGATACAGAGAGAGAGAGAGAGAGAGAGCGAGGGTCCGTCTCTGACAAGCATCATGCTGTTTTATGAGCTTCAACAGCAGGAGGCTGACCATAAACCAACGACGGCAAACAGTTTCATCAAGCTGGGCATGCATTCAAGAAATTTTCGTAAAGCCTATGAACACAAAGCCCTAGACCACTGTAGAATCCATACAGAACCCCCAAAGTACCCGTATATGAATGCCGTATGGAGCCCTTGTAGAAGCCTGTGAACACTAAACTTGTTCATAAAGGATCCTATGTACTGTTATGTGGGATGCTTCCCTAAATCATACTTGTAATTTCTGACGTAGGAAGCCTACATTCTACTATGTAGGTACAGAGGAGCCTTTGGGCTAGTCAGACGGAGGCCTTCTCCCCAGGTAACCACGGCACCACCGCGCTTCAGCGCAGCGAAGGCGCGCGATGAAGCGAAAATAAACCTCGTGTCTGCGGGTCGAGGTGTCTAGGGTTTAGGGTTTAGGGTTTAGGGTTTAGGGATCTGGGGCAGGAGGGGATCTCGAAATTCGGGCCCGGTTCAGTGTCTTTACGTAAGAGTGACGTGCTACTTCGGCGGCCCAAAGCGGGAACCGCCGGGAACTGGAGCTCAGCACTCTGGGCTTAAGGCTCCTCTAGAACCAAAGCCCAAAGCAACGCCAAATACAAAATCCAGTAGGAAACCTTCAACCTAAACGTAGCTTTATTCCCAAAGCCCAAGAAGAAATAAACTTGCAAGTTGAAGTCCCAGTCCTAGACTGCCTTTCGAATCCGAAAGCTCGATGGCGGTTGTTTTTTGGGACCGGGCTTGTTACATAGCTTGGGACGTCGAGGTCTTGCGTCCTTCCCGGCACCCGAAACTGTGACTCCAAATAGTCACTTCAAAAAGGTTGTGACACCGAAGCCCAGATTTACTCTCGCTGTGGTAGAAGGGCGGGATCGCAGAATCAGTGGATTGGTCTTTGAAGGGGTCTGCGGCTGTCTTTTGTCTGGGGCTGCTATAATGGTCCATGTGGGGTTGTATTATAAAGATCCTTATCCCTGAACGTCGTTATCGTTATTTTTGCTTCTTATCGTTGTTCAATGAAATTGTTTTGTTATCGTTTTATGTTCTTGCTATCGTTTTTGGATAGCCATCCAAAACCCAACAAGGACATGTCAAGACTAAGCCTAAAGGCGCCGGGTTACCATACAGTCCCATGTGAATTCCTGTCCACTATTTCCGGCTGTGTCCTGAATCCCCGTATGATGTAGCATGTATGATTTAGGGGCCGCTGGGCTGAGAATCCCGTTTACAGAAATCCACAGCCCTTCAAAGCACCAAGCTAGACTTCATGTTGGCTGCCGGAGCAAGTGACTCCACTTCTGACTGCAGCTCTTTCGCTGCCTGACATCAAGGGCATTTGCTTTGAGTATGTGGTCTGCTATGACTTTCAGGATGTCGTTGCAGCTTTACGAACTGATTTCTGGGTTTATGTAGGATTAAATATGGATCCATTGGCTTCTATAGGGTCGTCGGGTAGGGCTTAGGGTTTGGGACTTCAGGTTAACATTTTTGCTGGCTTGTAGGCTGGGTTCGAGGCTGCAGGTGGGTTTTCGAAACTCTGGGGCCCGGGTCTTCAGGCAAATGATTTCGTTAGGCTGTATGTATCCTTGCTCTTATTAAAGCCGTTCAAAAATATTCGTAGACACGATCCTCTTCGGCCCAAGAAGGGACATTATGAAATATCCCAAGGCCGGCCTAGTATGTATAGTGTAGATTAGGGCCCCAAAAAAGCACATAAGCAAACATTAGGATCCGGATATCCCATATAAATCCCCTTATAATGAAGCCCAATAAGGTAGGGTCCCTAGTAGATAGCTAAAGCTCGAAGGCTTCAAGTCGACGGGGTCTTGCGGGCTGGGCTGGGCTTTGCGGGCCTTGGCTGCAGACTTCCCGGCCCTAAACCCTAAACCCGCCCCAAACCCTAAACCCTAAACCCTAACCCAAACCCTAAATCCGAAACCCGAAAC